TCACCAGCCCGTTCTCCATCCCCTTCCCCATCATCAACCCTGCCACCATGGTCCCGCGTTGAAAGCCTAGCAATCCACCACTGCCTCCTATCAACATACACAGACACACGGTCCCGCCCGCAGGAGCTTGAACGCACAAGCAAAACCCACCGCGGATGGTGGGTCGTCTGGGTCCGCATCCCACACAGCACAAACCAAACTCCAACCGCGTTATCCACCAATTCTTCATCCACCACCCTCTCATTCATAGCGAACAAGGATGACTCCTTCCCCGCAAGTCAGTCCCAAGCGCAACCTGCTCCTCCACCTCAGGAAGCCTTCCTCGTCCGCAAAGCGAGCGACTACATTTCTCCGGCAAATCATGGCCGTGTCAGCAGTGGCGTTCGCTTCTTCCGTGATCTAGGCGGTGCATCTTCTTCCGCTGGCTTGACGGGGTCTTCCCGTGCCGCGGATATGGCGCCGTCGAAGCTGGTTGAGGGGCTTGGTATGGATGCTAGACGTTATATTGAGGGTCTTCTGAGTTTGAATCGGTAGTTGAGATGGGTTCTTCTATAATCAATATGCCCCTATAAACAACGATATTCGAACATAGCTCGAAATTGTTGCAGTACTCTAGTGGTCGGAAGCACTGAAATATTTACAGCTTTACGGGGCACTTCGCTACGCAGAGTACGCAGTACGCATGACAAGGTACACATATCAGATGGAAATAGACAGTACCATGCATAAGCTGTAAAAAACAAATGTAGTAAAGGAGGGAGAGAAAACAGTAAAAGCCGAATCAAGCTCTTCGCGTATGGGGAGATAACCGCAGGGACAAGAATCTATGACACAGGGGAACTCGACCAGGGAAGGCGAGTCACGGCGTTGACCAAATTGCACAACCGGTGCTACACTGAATGGCTTCCCCTTTTCATCTCCCGGTTGTTCCAATTCTGGGATCTTTTTTCGGTGCTTTTCGGTAGGTTTATAGTTGCCACCCTCAACGCGGCGGTTTGGCATTTGAAAATTCACGGCGTCGGAACGAGAGGAAAAGAAAAAGAAAAGCCCACAGGGTTATGATGAAGACAACGCCTCCCTAGACAAATTCTGCAAATAAAGGCAAAAGAAAAACACAAGGTCGACCAGCTGAATTGTGGGGGGAAACCTCCACGACTCGGGTGCCCGGATTCGATATTATCAACAATTTCGCATGCAGGCCATGAAGCCCTCCTCCTTTCCGAGAACAACGTCACCAATTGTTTTTCGTGGAGGCTCTCATACCAAAAATTGGTTCGTTTAGAGAATCAGGCAGCCCTTGCCAGGCTTGCGCCCTCCCTTGCCCTTGACGGCCTTCAGGAGAGCAGCACGAGTGGCAGCCTCAAAGACTTCACGGACACCCTCATTGGTGCGGGCCGAGCACTCAAGGTACTTGTAGGCGCCAATCTTCTTGCGGACTTCCTCACCCTGTAGTTTTATATTAGTTTATAATAGAGTCATGATGGTGTTGGAAAAACGTACCTGCTCTTGCGAAACGGGGCGCTGGGAGGTCTTGGCAAGCTCGTCAATAGTCTTGCGGTCCTCGCGAAGATCCTTCTTACAGCCGACGAGGATAATAGGGAGACCCTGGCAGAAGTGCAGAACCTCAGAGATCCACTATTGTAGTGCGTTAGCACATTCGGTCCAGTTCGCACCCAGACATTCTTTGCTCCAGGATGTACGATCGATTAGAGATGAGACACTTACCTTCTCCTGCACGTTGTCGAGCGAATCGGGCGAGTCCACAGCGAAACAGATCAGGATGACATGTGAATCGGGATATGAGAGAGGACGGAGACGATCGTAATCTTCCTGACCAGCAGTATCCCAAAGAGCGAGCTCGACGTGCTTGTTATCAACCTCGACATCGGCGACGTAGTTCTCGAAGACTGTGGGGACGTACACCTGACGGAAACAAAGTCAGATGATCCTTCATGAATTATGCTTCTCCGGAGTATATTCCTAGGAAAAAGGAACATGCCTTCGGGAATCGGGGGGAACTTACCTCGGGGAAAGTGCCCTTGGAGAAAACACTGCGAACTTCAGTCAGGCGGCCGAACGAAAGAGTAAACGCGGAGATTTAGGGAAGCGGCCTTGATAAGAGAGCCACTTTCAGTACTCACATGAGCAGACAGGTCTTACCGCAGGCACCATCGCCGACGATGACGAGCTTGCGACGGATCTCGGCCATCTTGATAAGGAACAGGTCAGTATAGGGGCAAATAAGCAGGAGAGAGTAGGGAGCCCCGCAAGTCCTAGATCTTCAAGATTCAAGAGTTTCTACAGGCACGAGGGCATCACAGAGAACAGACGATCCAGAAGAAAGGGCGAAGCCAGGCTCCCGAGGAGGGGGGAAAAGGAAAAGGGTGATCCCATACAGTGTTCAAAGGCGCAACGGAGTAGTAGATTTAATGCAGTAAATCAGCTAGTGCCAGCAGCAATAGCTCTAGGGAAATTAGAAAGATGGACGAGGTATTTCCGATGGGAAGCGATGGAAAAAAGACGATGGAATGATGATTTGGAGGTGGAGGAGAGAAAGATAGAAGACCAGGCTAGACAACGGAGGGCGGTGGCAGTATACGGTATTGTTGCCAGTTGGTGTATCGGTATTGTGGCTTTCCCCCTGGAGATGCTTCGTGTCAAGGTCTAGATGAGGTATCAACTTGCGCCGATGACTATGTGAAAGGTACTGCCTCGGGACTTCATACGTTGTACGGCTTTTAATATCGGTCTACATTGGTACATGAGTACGTTGCGTTTACGGCGTACTCCGTACATGTACATACACATACATAGTACTATGTATCATGCCAACACTCTATGAACACACACACACCCAAGTGTACCCCCTGAGTTTCAGGCTGCCTTTTTTTATATGCTGTGGCTTATGGGCTCTCCCCTTTTTCGAGGTTGAGAAAAGCGAAAAAGCGAACTTAATAGGTACACAGCCATAAATATGTGTGGCTGAGGTCCAACCGTCCACATCACGCGGCCCACTTGGTCGCGCTTTGTTGCTTACAACCACAGGCAGCACAGCCACCCGTGGCTGTTATGGTATCTGATATGAGCAAAATGTGATATCAGTCCTCTTATGGTGTATTGACTACGGCGTATAAATTTCACTCGTACTGCTTCAGTGGCTCATGTCTTCTCCTCAGAGCTTGAGAAGCAACCCAACTTTGTCCATTCGTTCAATCATCTCCTAAAAACCTACATTTATGGAGATATGCAGCAGCATACACCGCATAAAAAAAATAAAGGGCTACTACGGCAATTTCTTAGCTCCACGTCCTCGGATCTCACATATAATGTATCACCCTACCGGGATGTACTTCCATGGGCAGTGCTCCTACACGGCTGCCTCCAGGCCTACAGGAGTACCAAATGCTTGACTCGGCCAGTGAAGATCGCTCCGATAGTTCCCTGCATCTCAGTTACTTCTGGTGCTGATCTGCTCCCCGGGAGCTCTCGGCATGTACTGACTACGTTGTAGGTGGAGGTTTCCAAACGATCTCATGCTATCTGCTGGCAAACCTTGTTTCATTTGCTACTGCATCCAGGGGGGTCCCAAAATTGAATGTGTCGTCAAACCATTGGGGTAATTGTACCATGGAATTTCCGATATTCCACCACACCATCAAACCTCTGCCCCTTCGCTTGCTTCTGAGTTTACATGGCTTACAACATTCTTGACGCTGTTTTGAAAGTGGAGTTGATATATTGCCAGCTCCAATGATCGTGTTGCGCAGGCTAAAAATAGTAGACAGGGGCCAAATCTTGGAGGCTGGAGCTTGCGCCCACAAGCCACAAGCCGTTAAGTTGTTTTTCGGGAACCCAAAAATAGGAGAGCATAATTCTTCCGAGGTAAATGAGAATGCTTTAGCGTGCCGACAGAAGCTACATATTTAGAATATTTATCGGTGTTGGTTCATTTGCCGCCAAAAATGGATCCGTGTGCCAATTTCAATGGGCGTTGTCTGGGACTTCACGATCGATCTCAGATACAATACGACGTTGCGACAGATTTCCTCCCTTCCTCGTCCCAACCCAAATCTAGACTAAAGGCAAAGTTGAGCACACCCAGACCTCATGCATGAGCAAATACTGCTCCTTTCAATCCACTTCGTTGATCACAACATCTTGATACCCCGGGGCCGTGGCCGGTGCTTATGTACTTTTTGACCCGACTTGTCTTGCGCCCAACAAGAATTGGAAACGCATTGTTTTTATCTTCGGGCTTGCCTTCGGCATCTCATTGGCTTCTTAAGTTGCGTGATATCACACCTAAAGCTACGAGGTCGCGCCGGTACTTCTCTTCTAGGGTCTCTTAGAGCTTCATAATGAAGCAAGAATAATCTCAACCCAGATTGAATCGGCGTTGATGCGCATCTCATAATCCATGCTGGTGCTTCTCGATTTTCCGCAGAAGAAGTGTGTTCCTCTGACGGCATTCGGAAACTAAATGAGCTCTGGACGTGTACGGAGAATTAGAAGGTCCAAAATACAGATGACTTCATGTGTCTAATGGCCATCAGTAATCCCCGAATCCTCGGATATAAACATTCAATAATGATATTGCCCGAATATCTGCAGATATTAGCATCCATCCACCTCGATATGGTTTCCATGTGGGTTGTGGCCCTCGAATTTACAGTAGTCAGCTGTTACAGAAAGCTGCTTGTAGGAGTACATTGGCGTTGTTGAGGCCTGTTAATCGTTCTGGGCCTTCATTGTCACTTTCCATGGGGTATATTCCTTCTCAGATATAGAGCAGTACAATAAGAATAGTAGAGTGTTGTTAGAATCAATGACAGCCGGTCTATCTAGTTACTTGAATGTTTCAGCCAACGGGTTGCTGACATAATACACATTACCCTTCCAAGATCACGTGGCTCATCGGACACCCTCAATTTTCGATCCGCGAATTGGGGATTCTTGAGGCAGAGACGACGTTCAGCCATTGCTGAGCCACAACACCCAATATGCAGAGAGTTATCCAGCGGACAGCTACGGCCCGGAAGCAGGCTCTCAAAAAAACTCACAAAGCTCATGAACGACAGGAATTGTTAGACCGTGTTGGGATTCGGCGGGCGCGGAAGGACTTCGGCGGCGCGCTGTCTGGTCAATTCCAAGAAGCACGAAAGAACCGCTGGGAAGATTGGGAAAAGGGGCCTCTTGCCCCCATGCGAGACTCTGGTCTACAACGTACTACATATGGTGGTCAGGATGCCTCTGTTTTGCACCCACCGCGTCTTCCTAAGCACGAACAACGGAGGCATGTCCTCTTCGCCGAAGGTGACCGGGTCTGCGTTATCCGAGGACGGGATCAGGGAAAGATCAATGTGATTCAGCAGGTCAACCGGGAGAGTGAGACTGTCCTCATCAAGGGTATCAACGTGGTATGTCCCCGACGGACCAGCCATCCAGGTCAATGACCTCTTGATTAAACAAATGCTCACTGATGTTTTCAATTAGGCCGACGTGATCATTCCCGAATGGGCCAAAGACAGAATGGGACAAGCAGGTGATACCCAACCACAGTCCTTCCCCGTGTCTATGGACGACATCCGACACGTCATTCCGCTGGAAGACACACAGACTGGAAAGATGCAGAACGTCATTGTTCAGCACGCTTATGCCGCTGGGCCGTACACCGAGCGACCCGAACACAGCAAGCTCCCAAGGTTTACTCGCTATATCTCCGGCCTGGACGTCGAAATCCCTTGGCCGTTGGAGGAAGAGCCTGTCGTCACCGACGGTGACATGGACACAACGCGAATGGCGGTTGAAGCCAGCACATTCATACCTACACTGGAGCACCCGCCTATGCCCTCAACCGTCATTGATGAGCTGCGCAACAAATACTCCAGATTCCGCACTCGACACGATCCGGAATACCTGAGAGAGAAGATGAAGGAGGACTATCACAAGGAATACAGAAAAACCGTCTCTATGATGACACCGCAGACAGATGTCAAGAACTTGAAGATTGCTAAAATTGCGGAAGCGAGGAAGGCGAAGTTGGATGCCAACGGGAATGGGATATTGACACCGGCTGCTATTGACTTCATTAACAAGCATCTCCAAAACGCGCATCTCCAGAAGCCAACAAAGACAAAGAAGTCAAAGTCCAAGCAGGCTGCTTGATTGGGCGAAGGAGATGGAAGTCGGCGGAGGGAGGTTTTTTCCTGTAGCATTGTGTACACACCACTGTATTCTAGTATGAAGCTTTGCATTCACTCATACATCTAGTTCTTGATAAGGTTTTTTCGGATTTGTATCTTTTGAATTTATACAGTATGGAGATATCCATACTCCGTACTCCGTACATGATCCCCAAATTAGGGTTCCAATCAATGCGGATACTTCGGGTCCACCCTTGCTTTCATCCCCCAATTCTCCGACTAACCTGCATCTCCCTGCACTGCTGTTCTGTTGGACTAAAGCAGTCGCAAAGAGACATGGCATTCGCCTCAATTAATTCTACGGGCGCGCCCATCGCCGCCATCGAGGAGGCATTTGCGACGGAACCCTTGCTGAAGAAGCGAGTCTACGATGCGATCGGTGCGTAGCCAACAACGCACCCACGTCCCCTTCGACGACCCCGTCGACCTCCTGCTGACCGTCGCCAATGGGTTTTCTCGTTTAGGCACAACACCGCAGCATAAACCTCTGTTCGAAGATCTTGCGAAATATACTTCCAGCCTGCTGGCCAGGACCAACACCACCCTCCCTTCGCGGCCCCCAGCCGCTGATGGGCCTGCCGCTAAAAAGCGAAAGCTTCAAAATGGAGACTCGGCGGAGACTGCGCAGGCGTCAGTCAACCTGAAAGATGGCAATGCGCCACTTCTTTTTTATGTTCAAGATGTTTCGTTCTCTACGCCGCAGAGGAAGAAGCTTACGCTCGAGATCACTGCTGGACATCAGTATCTTCGGGCAAGGAACCAAGCTACGAAGGAGATTGAATTCGGTGTTTCTATGGATAAGATTCGTGAGTTTGAATTTACTTGTTCAAGAAAACTTTTGAGTTGCTAACATGACCTGTTGCTAATTAGGACATGCCCTCTGTCTTCCTGTGCCCGAGAAGACACAAAAACAGTTCAATTTTTGTATCATCCCCGAGTACGCCGATGGAATCACACCCCCGCCCGAGGGAACAGCAACCTCCGAAGCTATGGTGTTTACGATAGCCGATGGACCAGCCAAGGCAGCATTCTCAGGAGATGGGAAGCAGCTTGGCCACGGTCCCGGTGAATCGGCCGAGGCATTTATTCGCAAAATTTTGGATGAGAACATGGCTCACACCCGTGTTGTGCGCCCTGATAATAAACAGTTTGTCAGTGCCATGCCTGAGGCGCACCGGAAGGGCGAGAAAGCATACCATGTCAAAGCATTCCGCGGTAGCAAAGAAGGTATGTTGCATTCATATTTCCGTCTGACTGGAAGCCATTGTGCTTCTAGTTTTATCTCGATAATTCTAACATACTTTGGCTTGCGCCAGGCTATCTCTTCCTTCTTTCTACCGGTATCTTATTTGCATTCAAGAAACCGCTTCTGTTCTTTTCATTTGCAACCGTTGAGTCTGTTTCTTATACATCCGTCCTCCAGCGGACATTCAATCTCAATGTCATGGCTCGTCCAGAGAATGGCTCCGAGGAAGACGTCCAGGAATTCGAGTTCTCGATGATTGACCAGGATAATTTCTCCGGAATCGATACTTACATCAAACGACATGGTCTCCAAGATGCTAGTCTCGCAGAGGCACGGCGCGCCAAGGTCTACAACGTGAATAAAGCCGGCGGAGAGGATGCGGCGGCACCCGCCGCGGAGGCAGCCGGTGAAGATGAAAGTGAGCTCCAGAAAGCCCAGCGGGAGCTTGAAGACCAAGAGGAGGAAGAGGAGGAAGACTACAACCCCGAAAGTGACGATAGTGAAGGCAGCGGGTCCAGCAGTGAAGATGATGATGATGAGGACGATGAAGATGCCGGCCAGGACAGTGATGAGGACATGGTTGAGAATGAACTTGGGAGCGAAGCCGAGGACATTCCCGAAGACCATTAGTCCAATCAATACGGAGCCGTTTATCGCGATATCTGCTATAATGTAACGATACTAGCATTAGATTGCATGAACTTGTGATTTTATCGGGCTATCTAGTGGACTTGTCATATCTAGGGCTAGAGACGTCGACACAGATCATAGTGATCGACGAACTGGGAGGCCGGGTCCCTGCCAAGACGGTAATATTACCGCCTGATTAACCTCCAGACGGGAGCTCTCCCCTGAAATGAAAAAAACTTGAATGGGCCTGTCTATGCTGCCCCGGTTATAACTTCTTTCTTGAGACAAAATATATGTCGTAGCCGATACTATGTATATAATTTCCCTGTTATTTCCGGTGCCTGGTCCCTGGAGATTGAGCCGCTTCGGAAGCGCCGAGACTCGGGACAGAGTAGGTACGAGATGGGAATATTCAAGAGGTAGGCAATTTGGTGGCTTTCTTCGAACAAGCGTAAGCCTTAATATGAGTCTATATGTAACTGCTAGTTAGTTATAGAGAACAATGAAGACGACGACCTCTGATAGGTCTCAGAGAAGGTTTCCCCCAAAGTTACCATACAGTCACTGTATTCTCGTGACCAGCGGTTCCTGCGACTAACCCCCCTTCCCCTCCAGGGCGTCTTTTACCAATACGAACCCAATACCCTCCGCTCCCTGTCTCTCTCCTAGAGTGTTGCACCTTCTCTTTCTCTTCTTCTCCATCTTCTCCCTTCTCAGGTCCTCTGGTATATCTTTGAAACCACTGCTCAGTGCGGTCCGTACTCGCAGTAGGTCGAAGTGCCCTCTGTGTTTTGTTTTCCCCTTTTTTTCCCCTTTTCTTTGGCTTGTCTACCACCTCTCCCGGCTTCAACCCCAGCTCGTCACTTCCGACCGTCAAAAAAGGACCCACGAACGCCTCATTTACTGCTCAGCACTGCCAATTCCGCTTGTATTGGGCTATTTCGGCTTTAGACGTCCCTCCGTCCCTTTGATCTCGTCCCGATCGTGCATTCCGTCTGCCGCCCTGTCTCCTTTCATCGCCGTCCCCGGTACATCGGCTATTAGACGAATAGACTCCATTGAGCCTGTTAGAGCTGCTTCGGTCGGAAAAAAATAGAGGTTATTGTGATGTATGTGACCGGACTTCTTGATATTGCTTTCATTACCCGACTTCCTGTGTGCTAACTGCGCCCAGTCATAGTATCAATCACGTGTCTACGTCCCTGAAGCCATTCCCCGTGATCCAAAGTTTTATTCCCGCGGGTGACAATCCTTATTCCCGAAACCATGGCATCCTCATCGTCAAACGTAGTGGGTGTCCACTACCGTGTGGGCAAGAAGATCGGTGAAGGCTCCTTTGGTGTCATTTTCGAGGGCACCAACCTCCTGAACAACCAGCAGGTCGCCATCAAATTCGTATCGCTCCCTTTCCCCTTGGCCGGCGAGCCTCCTGGCTGACCCAATTAGGAACCCCGGAAAAGCGATGCTCCCCAGCTCCGCGATGAGTACCGGACATACAAGATTCTGGTTGGATGCCGTAAGTATTCCTAGGGAATAAGATGGTGTACGGTCTTCTAACTTCATGTCAGCTGGCATTCCCAATGTCTACTATTTCGGACAAGAGGGTCTGCACAACATCCTCGTTATCGATCTTCTCGGTCCTTCTCTGGAGGATCTCTTCGATCATTGCAACCGCCGCTTCACCACAAAGACTGTTGTGATGGTAGCCAAGCAGATGGTGCGTTTTCCCTGATCAAAATTACATGAACCGTGGCTAACTTTCACTAGCTTTCGCGCGTTCAAACAATTCACGAGAAGAACCTCATCTACCGAGACATCAAACCAGACAACTTCCTTATTGGCCGGCCATCAACTAAGGCTGCCAATGTTATCCACGTGGTTGATTTCGGTATGGCTAAGCAATACCGTGATCCCAAGACCAAGCAACACATTCCTTACCGCGAGCGTAAATCCTTGTCTGGCACTGCTCGTTACATGAGTATCAACACACATCTGGGCCGTGAGCAATCTCGGCGTGATGACTTGGAAGCTCTCGGCCATGTCTTCATGTACTTCTTGAGGGGTGGCCTTCCCTGGCAGGGCCTGAAGGCTGCTACCAACAAGCAAAAGTACGAGAAGATCGGCGAGAAGAAGCAAACGACGGCAATCAAGGACCTCTGCGATGGTTATCCAGGTATGTTATATCACTATTACCCATAACCATCTACTAACCACTCTGTCAGAAGAATTCAACAAGTACCTCAGCTACGTCCGTAACCTTGGTTTCGAGGACACCCCTGACTACGATTATCTGCGTGATATCTTGACACAAGCTCTCAAGAACGCCGGCGAGGTGGAGGATGGCGAGTACGACTGGATGAAGCTCAACAACGGACGGGGCTGGGACTATAAGTCCTACCCAAACCAGTCACATCTCCACAACCAGCACCAGAGCTCGACTGCTCGCGACCCGCATGCCAGAGAGCTCCGCAGCAGCCAACGTCCAGGAGTGACAGCCGACCGTTTAAACGCCGCGCAGCCCCCGCCTCCTTCTCCAGCCAAAGTTGGAGCTGGAAAGACGCGCGAGCGACCAAGCGCCGGCGGCGCCATTCCTCCCAAACGCCAGAGCGCGGGGGTGGAATCATCGACTCCAGCTGCGTCAACCCAGGCTCAGTTTCAAAATTCCAATGCCCACCTCCCCGGTCGCAACGGGAGTCCAGGGAACCCGGGGCTGAGTAACCAACAGCCCCTTGGTGCCCCAGGTACCCCTGAATCGACACCCACTTTCTCGCAGAAGTTGATGAAGGCTCTGTGCTGCGGTAGGTGATTCAGCTACACTGCATCACTTGAGCGCCCAGCTCATCTCAGGATCCAGATTGAATTCCAAATGAAGTGATGGCGCATTTAGACGTACCGCGCCACGCTTTCACCTGCTTCCTGCCCTTCATGTCAGAAAACGGCCTAAGAAGGTCTGCATGGGATTTCTTTTTTTTTTTCTTTTCTTGTTTACTTCACCTCTCGCTCCTTTCTTGTCTTGTGTTCAAGTGGTTAGCGCCGCTTCGCCGAGCAAGAATTGTGCTTCTCGGCCTAAATCACCTTCCGGCCAT